GATAAGCAAAGGTGCAGAATATTCCGCCGATTGGATTAAAGGTCATGGAGATAATGACAGAATTCGCAAAGTTGCTCTGGAAATACAGTAAAGAACTATTATGTAAAAAAGGGGAAAGTATTGCACATTGTTGAATGAAAGATTTGCTACCATTACTTAATTTTTAAAGCAACATAGAGAGAACAAAGCAGAGAACATTTAGTTTTTATGATTACACTTTCCATATATTTCTTTACATCTCAGTAGTGATGACTTCATGAACTGTTTCTATCAGAGAGAAAAATCAAAAAGAAAAAATATCTTTTGGACCTGATTCTGTTTTTGTCGTTAAACCATCCATGCTAATTACAAGGGTAGTCTTATAAGTTACCAACCCTTGATCAACCAGTCAGTTTTCTTGTCAACAGGCCATAAAACACAGAGTTTCAAGGTTATTGTGATGAAAGCTTGATGTAAAAAACCGTAATCCAGGATTGTTTTTTGTCTAAAGTTCTTGAAGAAATTGCTTCAGCTCATCGGAAATAATCTGTTTGAGGATTATTTCTTGAAACTACTTCTTGAAGAAATCGTTGCAGCTCAACTTTGTGATCGTTTGCACAGAAATAATCTGAGGAGTTTCAGGATTCAGGATTCAGAGCACACCCAAGCACAGAAACAGGACTGGCGAAAATGACCAATGATTTCCTTTAGCCTCTGATAGAGGATTTGTCCGTGGGCTTGTCCCACGGGAACTCGTTGCAGCATTTGATACCATCTATCACAACAATCTATTACAGAGATTTCCACATATTACTTGGAACTGCATTAGGCTAGTTTGAGGCAGATAGACAGATTCTATTTTGTTCATACAAACCAAGAGTCTTCCTCCAAAACCATGTCAGTTATGGAGTTCCTCAGGGGTTTGTGCTAGAGGCCATTTTTTTTCAATCTATACATGCCTCCAGCCGGTAACACCAGACAGCATGGTATTGTTTTCCAGTGTGTTGTTGAGAATATTTAGCTTTTACTTACCTGAGACCATTTGAAACATTTCAAGTGGTTAAACAATGTGCATGTTTCAAAGATTCAAAAGGTTGATGACTCAGAATTTTCTGCCTTGGAATTCAAACCAAAATTTCAAGACAGAACTTTCTAGCAAGTTGTTTTTGTGTAAATTTATACTAGAAGCCAAGCTTTTCTTTGGCTCTTAGAGCAACAGACCTTGGAGCAAGTTGTAACCAGGATCTGTCTTTTATGGTGACCCTGATGCAAACTCACATCAACAAATCACCAGTCGAAACTGCAAATTTAATAACACAACGACATATCCAAAACCCTACGGCATCTTACAAAAACACATTTTTCCAGTTATCATCTCACCTGACCTGTGCCAAAGCCTAAACAAATTAGGTATTGTAATTACCAAAATGACCAGCCTCCGGGTTTAAATTAGCATTTACATTAGCATCAAATTTGTCAAGACAATTTCTTTCAAGAGGTCTGCCATCCAAATTGGAACTAGACACAACAAGTTGACATGGAAATTTCCCATTAGCAAATGGCTATAGAAAGTGCTTCACTGAACATTCATCAAAATCTAATAAATTGACAACATATTTTGCATAAATTATGCCACCCCATCATTGGCTTGTATTCAACCAATTTTCTTGTTAGGCAGGAGGGTGTTTCTGAAAGAGTACCTCGGATGATTATGTATTCCTGTTGTATTTGGAAGGGGTGCTGTAACTAAGATTCAAATAATTTGGCAGCTTGCTGTATCAGACAACTCCATCTATAAGCATTACGTAGGTGTGGAGATATTAGCTAAATTAAATTATGGATGGAGAAACAAGGCTCTACAGCCTGGGACTGGTACCCCATACTCTGACTGCAGAGAGATAAGAGATAGAGGCACAGTATGCATCAGGGCTGTAAGGAAACAGGCAGCTTAAGGTTACAGTTGAAAATGCTTGTTATCTTTCTGCCTCTCCTCTTTTACGGACTGGTCAGTAAACTGAATGACGGGTTCTTTACAGTTCCCAAAGATAAATGATCCTGTTGCATTTTTAACTATTGCAGGGAAAGAGAAAAATTAATTAAAGCTGCATGCAAGAACAAAAAGGTTACAGATAGACGGAAAGACAGGTCTTCCAATTGGTGATAGTATGGAGTATGTTTTGTTCAAACCATGGAACTGGACAGGAAAGGACAATCCATTCCACTCCAAATGTTCTCCATTTTTTTCTTAAGCCACATACTATGACTGATGTCATTTGGTGCCATCAGTGGCAGCTTAATTTGACGTGGACCACGGGCCCACTGAATGGAAAAAGCAACTTAAACGGAGCTAAATCCTTGACAAACAGATGTGAGCCAGATGTTGCTCCAACAGAGACCCCCAAGATGGATTTAGTAGTCCACTAACCACATGATCTGGATGTGCATGTGTGTAATCAAAAGCAAAACAGCACGCACAAACCGTTGTTCCATCAAGCAAGATAAAGCCGGCATTTTTACTCCATAAATGCATCTACAGGAATTTATGGATTTAAATGGAGGCATGTCTATCTGGTTGCGTTTCTCCAAAGATGATAAAACATGGTTTTCCTTGTCAGCTGAAGTCTTACTTTGATTGAAACAAAAAAGCTCTCATGGAATAAATGTGGTGCCAAAACACATATAGTAAAGGCTTTCTATGTTTTATTATCATATAGCTTTGACCACTGAAAGCAAACAGATGGAGTCAGTGAAGATATTTCAGAATCAGGTGCATAATGATAAAGACAAAAGGTTGAGGATTAAATGCTGACACAAGACGTTGAATTAGGATCTCCAAGGAGCTTTTACAAAAAAAATCAAATAATACATCAGATAAGGTCATGGGACACTGTACTTTCAGGGACAGTGACAAAGATGATTAAATAATTGGAGTATAGTAATAATAATCCTGAAAAAAGAAATGCTTTAAAAGAAAACAACTGATTAGAAAGGAAGAAAGATTACTATAAAAGTAAGATAGCATTCACATGAGCATTATTTATTGCTTTCAATATTTGCATGTAAAGGACAGCATTTATCCAAAATTCACTTTAATGTAAAAAGACAATACAATTTATCTAATAGAGATGGGTGATGCAAGCATAATGTCACATAACATGATTGTTTTGTGTGCAGGTGTTATGAGCATAACGTAAAAATACCTTTGACACACACAATCAGTTTTGAAGGAGACATTATCAAACAAACTGTTGTATATTTTAGGCATACAGTTATTTTCTTCCGTGCAAAGATCTGACAGAAACAGTATTATCATGTTTCTGTGAGTAATATGGTAGGGCTACAGTCGATTAGCTTAGCCTTAAGATTCGTCCAAATGTTAAAATAACACTCATTCATCAAAAATCTAGAGTACCCAAATTAACAACATTTCTCATGATCCTTGTTGGTCTTGTTTGTTCCAAATTTGTTAGTGAATTGTTGTTTTTACTGAGGTTTGTGTAGTGGAGGTGTTTTTATTGATTGGTATTCACTAGCCTGTTGCTAGAGCTAAATAATTAATAGCTCAAAGATTTAAGTCGTTCAGCCACAATTCAATAAGTTACGATTAAATGAAACATGACATTGTAAAGCATATCATCATGTGCAAACTCTAAAACAAGGTTATGCAGTTTTTAAAATGTGTTTTTGTGTTAAACAGTAGCATTAAATTATGTTCTCCAGAAGGAGAAGCTCAGTTGAGCTATGCTAAGCTAAGTTAAGATGAACTAAGCTAAATATGTTTGACATTAGCCTGGTACTATCTTTATGCTCATGGCAAATTCACTCATTCAAGTATGCTACCAAAAAACCAAAAAACAATGTGATTTTAAAACAGAATAGTTGCAGTAATTTTATAATTATGACTTTTTATCTTTTATGTATCCAGATATGCTCAAGTCATTTGTTAACTTCACAACACACAATGTGATAATGCTCAAAGCATCCAAATTTTTGCAATTCTTTTTATCAAAGCTTATAGAAACGACAACAATAAAATTATATTGTAAAAAAGCATATTATATTCTGTGAAAATTGCTAAAGCTTAAACTACTTGGTTAATTTATCTATGAAGCAGAACACTAGAGATACATCGCTGCAGTATATACATTACAGAGAAGCTAACTTTAATGGCTAAGTGGCAAAGTTTTAAAAGCAGGAAATATATACAAGCTCCTTACACAACCATTCTTACATACAGGATTCTTAACTTGTGGACTTGGAAACAGAAATGATCACCATCACTTTAGTTTGAAATGTGTCCCTGTTTGACTCCCACTGAAGTGGGAACAATACATTTAAAATTAATCACAGCAAGGATAAACACTAATGTGTTTACAACTGAATCAAAGTTCCAAACTTGGCATCAGAATAAAAAAACGAGAGTTCATGATATTTCAGTGCATTCGTAATGAGCTATCGCACTCTGAAGGCAATACATTTTAGCATGGCTATTTATCTGCTTTAAACAACGAAGCAAAGTTCCATGTGCCTGGGTCCAGCCACACATTCGTGGACCTCCAGCCCATTTCTATTGTACAAAGTAAGATTTACAAAAGTAAAAGCCGTTCTTCAATAATAACACGGTAAAAATGTTGTTTTGCATAGCATTTGGCCTTGCATCGCCATCAAATACCAGGGCCTCAAGGAGAAAATATAAATGCCAAATGCTAAAGTTTTAAAAGAAGTCACTGAATTAATCACTTGCTGAGTTCTGAATGATGCGGTTATCTAATTATCTTCAGCAATTTAAAAGGTTAATCATAAATGTACAAACTCAATGTAAACATGACAACAATTTTTCTAAGCAAAATGCATGCAATGTAATCACATTAACCTGAAAAAAGGAAACAAATCACACAAACAAAAAAACAAAAACAAATCTATGGTACAAGGACTCAGTGCTTGCCATTGTTTTTGATTGCATTCCAGTCATCAAATCCAAAAACGGTTTTCAGAAGAATAAATGGCCTTCATCGCAACGCTTACACAGCTCCTTTGATCACCGGTTCCCTATTGAGATAAGTAGCCCAATACACCAGGTTGAAGGTCCCAAACAGCACGGGGAACACTATCCTGGACATCTTGTCGATCTTGCTCACGCTGTTGTAAGTCTTTTTGGGGTCTGGGGCCTTGGTTTCCGGCGGTTTGAGCTGAACGGCCGTGCTGTTTGAGATGGTGGAGATAGACGCATCCTTTGAAAGGTTAGCGGTGAAATTCACCCCGGCTGAACAGGTGTTATTTGGCTTCTTTGACAGAGCTAAAGGGTCTTTTTTCTGTGGAAAAAAAAAGAAGGTTTTGACTCAAAAACGGAGCAACACGCTGTTCTTCTAGCAAGAATAAACATGTCGTCAAAACGCACAAACCTATAATTCAACCACGAAAACAATGCTATGAAGACAAAATGAAAAATGGGATGGCGAGGGCGTAATGTTCTTGGGGCACAAATGAATTGGCACTGTGCCACAATACTGGCAGACTGAGCCATGTATTCATTGATTGATCCTTTTCAAACTCTACATCCTTCCTAATATATCACTTACTTACACATTATCGGGTTTGACGAACCCTTTTAAAGATCCTCGCTTCTCCAATTACTCATCTACAACTCAGTGAAGAGGGATAAGAAAGAAATGTTCAAATCACACATACCTTGGGCTGTTGGGCCTCCATTGCTTTTTTTCCATCCCAGGCCCAGCTCCGTTTGGTAAAATAGTTCACGGTGGCAAATTCGATGAGGGCGGAGAAGACAAAGGCATAGCACACTGCTATGAACCAGTCCATGGCGGTAGCGTAGGCCACTTTGGGCAGGGAGTTCCGGGCACTGATGCTTAGAGTGGTCATGGTCAGAACAGTGGTCACACCTGGCGGAACGACAAAAAAAAAAAAAGTGGGTCACTCTTAGCTGTCACACTCGTGTTTCAAATTTTATTCCAGCAGATTAAGTTGTGGAGAAAGCAGGGCACACAGCAAAAGCATTATGGACAAATCATACAGTGACATTATGAAACAACACAGCCGGACATACGCTAAACACAACATCGAGTCCAAAATAAATATCATTGTCACATGCTTGGAATCCTACCAGGTGACTTTTGAAGCTAATTACTTTAATGGTTTTCGGTATTTGACACTCCTGGTTCGTCCACACTCACCAAAGACAGTTCTGGCCGGCACTGACTCTCGGTTTAGCCAAAAGGAGACCTGGGACAGGATAACCGTCATGAAGCACGGCATGTAGGTCTGGATGACAAAGTAGCCGATCTTCCTCTTCAGGTAAAAGTGAGCCATCATCACCGTGTACTGACCTGTTAAAAACAGCCAAAAAGCAAAGGCAGGTTTATTTGTATAGCATATTTCATACACAACAGGAACTCAAATTGCTTTAGAAAGGCGTTAAGATAAAAAAAAACTACCTGTACCATTGGAAAGTCTAATTATTAAACTTACTAGGTCCTACTAATCCCATAATCATGTCTCTGGAGGTTAAATTTATCCAGTTGGCCCACATTTGATCATTTGATTTGGGCATCCCTGATGTACAACATAGTAGCTAAATGCATTTAGCTTCAGTTTGTTTGGTCCTTGCTTTGGGTTCTACCACCTGACTGCTACCTAAAGATCTCAGACATCTGAAATGTATTCAGGACCCATGTTGTTAAGTGGTTTGTGCTTGCTTAATTCTTTTGTTGGAAGTCTGCGAATAAACCCGATAAATGATCAGGGTCCAAACATGGAATTTATTCAGGTTACGGGTAATTTATTCAGGTCACAGGTAAAGTCAGGCATCGCTGGGCTCAAACCGAACACGAACAGGCCAGCTCCTAATCAATTCAGATTCCACTGAAATGTGATAACAAATGTGTGTGTGTGCGTTCCCCTTGGAGATGTGTATCTAATGCAACAGAGATTAAGGAGGACCCCGTGAGTACAACCAGAGAGGCTGTATAGATTCAGCACAAGAGTATAATTCTTAAGTAAATAAAACAATTAGTAAGTTACATGAGGTCAGTGCAAAAGCACAACTCTAAAGTGAGCAAATAGAATCCGACCATAATATTTGTAAAGTTAAATCCGAGCTTTAAAGTTTGTAGGTAGCCAGGGTAAGGACTTCAGAAAAGTAGTAAGGTGCTGTTTTTCTGGTTTTTGTAAATTATAAAGTTTAGGATGATCACAGAATCTTTTGTTTGCTCACATTTGTGCCGCGTGCTGTCAAGCTGGATGAATAGCTTTGATTTGGTGTCTACTGGGACATTTAACTTTGCCTTTCAGCTTGAAAACAACAGCAAAATCAAAGCAACGTGATGTGAAACCAAAACACAAAGCTTCTGGATGCCGAAATTGCTCAAATTTGCGAAAAGTTGGTCAGTGTCATTTAAAAATGTCAAACAAATGCACTCTCAGTGTGTGTCTGCTAGTTGAAATAGTATAATCGTTATGATAAAATATTACGAGATTCCTGGAAAGTTTTACTGTTTGAAGAGACTGTTTGAGTTTACATTGTTGGGATTTAACAATAGAAATGAATATATTGTTATGAATAAAATTTAATCAAGTAAGAAAATGTATTAATTGATGTCTTTGATAAACAAAAACTTTATTTTCCTCAGCGAGCAGCTTTTATGCCATAGAACAGAACTTCAACTTTGATTAAGAGCTCTAAAAATAACCTGAACTAAAATATTGTTGGTGGACAAAAAAAAAATAATACACACAAAACATACATGTTGGTGGGAAAAAAAAATCATCATATCTTGTCAACCAACCGAAGATTGCATTTCAGGGATTTTTTTTTTTTTCTGAAAAAAATCCCGTGGAGCTGCGGAGTCTGATAAACTATAGAAAATCCACAGATGACTGCTGCTTTCTCCTGGCAAAATCGGATTTTTCTGTCTCGCTAATCCCTTGTCACAATCTGCATCCTGTGCATCTCTCTCTCACTCTCTCTCTGTCTCTCTTTCGATGTGCAAGTGAGTGTGTGTCTGTGTTTGTGTGGAAGAGTGTGTGTGAGCTGCCGACGCCGAGGTCCGTCCCTTTTTTTTATGTCTCGGGGCCCCGGGCCACTCTTGACCGGAGGGAAGTCCGTCTTTGAACGCTGAAAGGAACCCCGGGTCAGCGGTGATTAGGAGGAGGCGCGCCCATGCCCGAGGGGGGCTGAGAAGCAAAGTTTGGACGCTTTGGATGCCATGCCGTGCAACTGAGAGCACCATGATAAGGGCACCTGTGGTCTGTGGACTCCTGACCGGCAGCCCCGCTCCGGGCTGGCACAGCCGGGGCCGCTTCCCCCTGATCTGACCGACCGCCTGCTGGGAACCCGCGAGTGGATGGAAATCTCTGAGGTGTGAAACAATGCGCTTGTGGTGGATTTTGCTGCTGGGTTTCTGGAGTGTCTGCGGGGAACTGCCGTTCATAGCGGACAACAACGCCGCCATGCTGGTCAACTGGTGAGTAAAGACTCGGGAAAAAGTAAAGTAAAGTAAAGTAAAGATCTGGAATGACAAGTTTTTTAATTCCTGCATTCATACCTTCATCCTCTTTCGCTAAACTTGTCGGGTCAAAGGTCATGTCGACCGCATAAGGCGGGAGCACGTTGCTGAGCTATTCCAGGCTTGGTAAAGAAGGTTTGTGGCTCAGATTAGCAACGCTAATTAAGATCATGCTGGCTTACAGTGACTTACCGCTCTTTTTTTGGGTCATCCCCGCGGCGTGTAAATAGTTTCAAGCGGGATATACCAACCTGTGAGAGCGAGTTCAAACGAGGGGGACGGATTCTGTGCCTTCTACCGGCAACGCTTAGAATTTCTCCACAGTAATGGGTTCACTTTTAGTAAAACACCCAGTGGAAATAGCTTTTTGTCTGACGGATGCTTTCCAAAGCTAACCCTTCCTGTGTACACTACAGAAACTTCCTCCGCCGCAACAAAAGGCGCTACTAACAACCAAGCTGCCGAAATGTATTATTCTTTACATAACAGAATTAAGCCGATGCCCCCCCCTCTGCACCCCCCAACCCCCTCCCCACGAGCCACTTCCGCAGCAGCCAATCCCTGAGCTGTGACGTCACTCGGTAAAAGCACAACTGATGGGGCCTGCATACGGATTAACCCTACAGACCCAATGGCTCAGATCACGGATAAGTGATTTTTTTTTTTTACCCCCCCTCTCCCCTTGATTCCATCCTTTTTTTTTTTTTTCTCTCTTGGCAGCCCCAGAGACAGCTGGCTATGTGTGGGAGGCATTGTCAAATCCTTCTGATTCATTCATTGTCTCTATCCCGTTTGATTTGAAAACATTTTCTTCTCACAACATCTTTAGATGGCACACGCTGTAATAACACAAAGCTGAATAATAGGGTGGAAGCGGAGGCTTAAAAATCCCGGCTCCTGCCTGAAGCTACTGTATGGCTGTTATTTCGCGAGGAAAAAAAATAACAGTGATTAAAAGCGATGGGCGGACGCTAGCCGGAGTGTGCAAACCTTCTCGTTTTTTCATCATTCCTACATGAGCATGAGCCAAAATGTAATTACGTTTTCAATAAAAGTTTAAGAAAAAAAAAAACAACATAACATTTTTGAAAAATAATTGAGGAAATTCTTCTTCTTCGTGGAAGTGTAAGATTTGTCACTCCAGTAATCCACAATATTTCCATTAAAATTGGTCATTTATTATTAATCATTTATATTTTATATTTAGTGCTTGTGGGAAATATGAAAATCAAGAGAGGCTCATTTTAAATAAGGGAACTCTGTCTACGTTCGATTGATTTTCACAGAAAAAGATTAATAAGAAGAAATAAAGACCCTTTTTCACACAGAAGCTCAGGAAATATTTAAGGATCTTGACATTTTACAAAAAAAATGATTATTTTTTAAGAATATCTTCTAGTATGGCAGTGCCATTACTACATGTCATCAAGTATTGGCTGAGCTCCAAAGAAACTGATACATCATGTGAGTGTTTGCAATGCAAAACTGGTTCCATCTCTACTTTAGTTGGCAAAATCTTTGTTTCTCAATTCTGAGATTTCTTTCTGGCAAGCTTTTGTAAATCCCTTTGCCAAATTTGTTAGCTTTTCGTTGGATGCAGGTGGATACGACAGATTGCTCTTAGATGAACCCCCCTCTCACACACACACACTGTGATTAATATTTTTGCACATTTATACGAGAAAAACATTCGCCAGATACACAGTAATTGCACACTGTGACCTTTCATTCATGTGTACACAGGTTGTGTGGATCGATTCTGTCTGAAAAAACTGGTAAGACATTCCAGCAAAATGAGCATACAGTCTGAGGAGAGAACGAAGAAAATACTTCCACAAATTAGTGTATGAAGGTCTGACTTTTTTTAAACGAGAGATTCTTTTTACACCAGATTAGCAGTATGTCCCACAGAGGCTTCTTCGATTAATTATATATATATATACAGTGGGGGAAATAAGTATTTGACCCCTTGCTGATTTAGCAGGTTTGCCCACTCACAAAGAATGCCTATTTTTCCTCATCAGATGTTTATCAATTTTTATAAATTCATATGATGTGATTTTCTGGAATTTTCTTTGGGATTCTGTCTTTCACTGTTAGAATGCACATATGATTAAAGTTATAGATCGTTGCATTCTTTGTAAGTGGGCAAACCTGCAAAATCAGCAAGGGGTCAAATACTTATTTCCCCCACTGTATATATATATGTATATATTTATATGTATCATTAATTGAAGAAGTTTTTTCAGTTAAAACTAAATTGCAGTTATACATGTATTATATATAAATTGCATATATATATGTAACATTAATTGAAGTAGCCTCTGTGAGACATATATATATATATATCTGTGTGGATTTTATATGTTCCCTGTGCCTCATTGGTTTCCGAAGGGTACTCCGGCCTCCTCCAACCGACCAAAATCTTGCATATTAAGTTACTTGAATAATCTGAATGGCCACTAGGAGTGAATGTGAGTGTTGTTTATCTAGGTCCAGGGTGTCCAGGGTGTTCCCCGCCTATCGCCCCGTGTCAGCTGGGATAGGCTCCCGTCCCTATGCAACCCTACTAGAAATAAGCTGTGTAAACTGATGGTACTTTAAACTGCCTGACACACTTTTAAAACACAGCTGAAAGATTCAAAACGGCCATCGCCGCGATCTGATTCGCTTTAGGGTCACCTCTGCTGGTGTAGATGTCCTCTGTCCCGGCCGTCTGACCGATCAGATGGTACTGGTTGAGCCGGGAACCTTCTTCTGCCACCACCACTGACTTGGCTGCGCCCTGAGTCCACGTGTAGACCACCTCCGAGACAGGATACGCATCTATAAAAAGACGAAAAAGAAGTTGTTTTAGAAACGTGCTGAAAAGAAATATATTCCTCTAAAGTTTAAAAGCTAAGTTGGTCTGAGTTGCTATTATGTGTGGGATATCATATTGAGTTTGTAGTGTGTATGCAAAACCACAAGTATTGATTTCTGAAGTGTAAAATTCGATTACATGAATATCATCTTCATATTCACTATTGCCGCACATTAGGAAAAGACATTTAAGGATGAGTTAAGTGGGGTATTTTGCCGGCCAACTCAGATAAGGGTCATTATAGCCAAAACCAAATAATATTTGTTATCACATGTGGAAGATTTCTATCCTTTTGAAGAATGGTTTCTTCCATCATGACATTGATTTCTTTCCCATAAGGGCATAAGGACCTTATGAGAATCAGATCAGATCAGGTTAGACAGTACTCTTCACCACTATATTAACAAGAAGCTTTCAAAACATCTTTAGGGAAAGCTGTTCCAAGTGTCAAGGTAGGGGCTCATCCTAAAACTCAGAACCCTCGACCTACTCTTGAGGCTCAAATCTACATCAAATGGTTAAAAATGAAGAAATCAAGCAACACGAAGAGCTCACGACCCACCAGCCCTCCATTCTTTGTGGATTATTAGTACATTACTCTGAGCTTGCACTTTTACCGGCAAAGAAGAGTTTAATAAATGACATGTTAAGTGAGTGCAAATACGTAATTTTAGGTTTGTGATCATGTTAGTTTACAGACAGATAAAGTTCCAAGAAGCTCGATACTGATCCAAACTTAAATAATGAAATTTAAATAAACTACGGCATCCACGATAACAAATATAACAGCTTTGAAAGTGTATGTCACCCCGTAACAACTCTTTTTTAGTAACAGTTTAACATAAATATCTGAAAGGAAACGGCTTGTTTAACTCAGTTGCCAGGTAACAAAATTCATCTAAATGTAAAAATGTCAATTTTCACAGCTACAGTGATATACACTGATATATTTTACAAATTTATTTTGAGGATGAGTTTATTCAGGAATTCTGATGCCTAAATGTAAAAAATGTAGATATAATCATACATAACAGTTTAAAAACTTCATTTAGAATGATACAACTGCAGATTAATTGGAAAATTAAAGGCCTCCTGTCCATGTCAGACTATAAAAGACTTTAAAAATGTATGTAAACATTCAGGTCGGACTGAAATCCCTGAATAAGCAAAGCTTCTAAAACTAGACTAAAAGCACCAAATAATGTACTGGGGATTCAATCGTTCCCCCAAGTACAGAGGAGAGGCATGTAATGTCATGAAAAATGCAACTGGGCTTGATTAATGCTCACTTTTAGCCACTAGGCGGAAAAAAAAAACACCCCACTTCACTCACAACACAAAAAACACATTTTAAATGCTAGCTGTGCAATCAGCAGTACCAATAAGAGAGAAGGGGGCAAAATGTATTTCTGTCATTTGTAGACAGAAACAGGATTTCACACTTTTTGAGGCAAAAATGTTTTTATTTTTTGTAGAAAAAACCTTGTGCCTTAAACAATTCAACTATTGCCTGTGCTCATTTATCATTTCAAACATGTTATTCAAATAGAAAGATAACTGTATAATCCTATATACAAGCAGAATTTGAATAATATAACTATGCAGACAAATCCTTCTTTAAGTCTAACCAGATAATAAGACTTTTACATGCATTTTCTGATGTCAAAATAAGATACACTACAAGAGAAAAAGATCAGACACATCCACTTCTTCAAAATCTATGTAAAGTAACACCAGTAAACCTGATATCTGACAAGAATTTATCTGTGGTCCACAGACTCTTTGGAAGGTCGCAGAGATTCTGGTCAAAATCAGCTACTTTTAATTAGGGATGACTGGGACATTTCCATTCATGTTGAACGTGTTTTGTCGCTGCTCTTAGCAGGGCGGAACAAGGGGGCACAACCTCGCATCTACATGCACAGCTAAAGTCAAACGAGGTCCCGCACTCTTTGTAGCATCCCATCTTTTTGGCACCATATTGTAAACACAAATTAATAGAGAGCGCATATAAAAGCATCTGCTCTAATTCACACAGAGATAAAAACTGAGGATTGTGACTGCAAGACAGCCCATTGATACATTTAAATATGTATTAGTTATTATCAATAAACTCATTAGTTAACTTCAACACACCTTTACGGATACAGCTACATTTACATGTATGTTTTGCTACAAAAAAAGAGGTAGCAGAACGTATTGAAGTTGTTTATACTTACATACATACATACATACATACATACATACATACATACATACATAC